GTACCATGTCTGTTCCGGGCATGGGCTTGCTGAGCAATTGTGGGTGCCCTTTTACACAGCTAACCTTTGAGCAGACAAAGCAGTAGCTTGGGCAGAGGAGAGAAAGTACCTGCTTGAGAATGCAAATGCAGAGGAACAAGTTTCACTTTCCAGGGCTCCGAGCCTTGAGCCTTGTATACCTTTCGGCCTTGATGGCAGAGTAGCAAGTGTGGGTGATAGTTCCACGATGGGTGTGAGTAAGTGTGATGGAAGCCATAGGACATTTGTGTACAATGAGGAAGGGATGTATCTATGTGCGTGTAGTATATTCATGTGTCAGTATGGTGAAGGAGGCAATCTGGGAGCAGGTATGTTTGTGTATTGCTAGATGGTAGGATATGTGTTGGACGTGAATGAAAAGGCAAGGGAGTGTGTGTGTGTGTGTGTGTGTGTGTGTGTATTTGGGGTGGGAATTATCTTAGGTCCTATTTGCAAATAGACAATAGTCTTCACCTGACTTTTCCTGGGGACTTATCTTTATAGGACGTGCCCAAGAAATTAAAAAAAAAAAACCCAAAAAACAAATGAACAAACACACACACACACACACACACACACACACACACACACACACACAACCAGGGAGCAAACAACCTGGAAACACAGTGGCCAAGAGATAAAAATCAAAGCAAGGAGGTCTCACTTTGTACACAGTTGGGCTATAAAAACAAGCCAGTCATTCCAGTCATTTTGAAACAGCCTTTGAGGTTTAGCACCAACCGCCCCCCTGCCTCTGGAGAAGAGGCAAGCTGCAGGCTAAGGGCTGGCAGAGCAGCCAGGCCACAGCTCTGCCTTGCAGCAGACCAGGAATGCGATCTCTTAGCCCTGAGGCAGGGTGGATCAGGTCCTATCAACTTCATCTCACCAGTTTCCAAAAGATGTGGGAGATGGTGTGGCATTGGCCTCTGAACTCAGGAATCTGTTTCTTTCCCCCTGACCCCACTCCGAAAGCTGAGAACTGGCTAAACCAGTTACAATTGCCATAAATCATAAATAAAGTTGGTGATTATACTGAGGCCAAAGGTTGCAGAATGCAAGGGAATTGACAGCAATGATCTTGGAGAGGTGGTGCTGGGCACCGGAGGAAATTTTCAGGGAAATCACTACTTAATGGTTTTTTTTTTTTTTTTGAGATAGGGTTTCTCTGTAGCTTTGGAGACTGTCCTGGGACTAGCTCTTTAAGACCAGGTTGGCCTAGAACTCACAGAGATCCACCTGCCTCTGCCTCCCGAGTGGATGAGTAGACTGTGTGGACTGGGGCTCTAGATTCCTGTTCTCTCACTCTGCCTTACACTCCTAGTCCCTCTGGGGATCTTTGACTTGCACTACTTGATTCATTGCAAAGGGACAAAGATTTGTCCAAGGACATAGAAGAGCACATAGCCCCACAGTAAGCGAGCAGCTTCTGGGGCAGAAAGGCTATGGTCTTACTTGGTACCACTCTATTGCAGGGATGGAGAGAAAGGTCACTAGTGACCCGGTGGCTTTGAAGGCCTCCCACACACAGACTTTGAAGGACGGAAAAGTGAAAGTGCTCTTGGAATGACTTCTGATCCATGGAGAAGACACTGGGTAGCCCCAAATCTGAAAATCCAGATGGGCCTGAGTCAAAACCTGCCAGCATCCGCTTTCATTGCCACCCACACAAAACAAAAGTAGGAAAACTAAAACACCCTCTTAACACCATGCACTGCCTTAAGAATTGATCACGCTGGGTGTTGTAATTAAAAAAAAAAAAGGTGACATGTGAGAGAAAGACTCCATGAGACAGAGTTCATGTGGAGGGGTTTTTATAAGAAGAAAGGGAATGTAAAAAGAGGGAAGGGGAGCCGGGAGACTGGTCTCTGGGGACAGGAGCAAAAGAAGAGAAGAGAGAAGCAGAGAGAGAAGGGGAGAGAGAAACAGAGAATGAGAGAGATGGGAGGTGGACAGGGCTCTTTCAAAAGGGAGAGTAGTGAATGTGCACAGGAGGTGCTCTTAGTGGCTACAGCTGAGGATGTATCCTGCCAGGGCAGGATACATGCAAGGGTAGGCCAGTACAGATGACGGAATGTTAACACTGAGGATGCTGCTTAATGGTAGAACACTTGCCTAACATGCATGAGGCCCTGGTTCCTGCATCAGCATCACAAAGGCAGAATTGGTCCTAATCTTTCAGGAGTGTCTATCGGAAAGGAAGGTTTCCCTACTGTCAACTGCCCTGTGCCAGCCATCAGCAGAGGCTTGACCAATTGCCTGCTCTTTGCCTTGCTTAACCACTACCAGCAACACCCTTTGATTCTATTACCTATCTCCACTGTACAGACTTGGAGACAGTTTTGCGGAAGGGAGGTAACTTTCCCTAGGTCACACAGATAGGAAGAAACAACACAGGATTCAAGGCAAATGGTATAGAACGTCAGCCCTGTCTTGGCTATTGAACTCAATTTTTAAAAATAAATTTGGGGTGGGCTGGAGAGATGGCTCAGTGATTAAGAGCACTGACTGCTCTTCCAGAGGATCTGGGTTCAATTCCCAACACCCACATGAAATCTAACAGCTGTCTGTAACTCCAAGATCTGACACCCTCACACAGACATAAATGCACTTAAGATAAAAATTAATGAGTTACCTAAAAATAAATTTGAAACTATATTATTTAGTGTGTGTGTGTGTGTGTGTTAGCAAGTGTGAAAACATGCCTTGTTGCAGATATAGAGGTCAAAGGACAACTTACAAGGGTCAGAATTCTTCTTCAAGCATATGGGTCTCTGTGGTTGAACTCAGATCATCAGACTTAGCAACAGGTGCCTTTTCCTACTGAGTCATCTCTCTGGTCTGGAATTATTACACTTCTGTTGGACGCAGGACAAGGAACCCAGTGCTGAACATGTCAAAACTCTGACACAAATTCTTATCACCCTGTGTGTTGTGGCTAGGATAACCTTTTGGAGACAGATTCAGTTGAATCAAGACAAATCCTTGCTCATAAAAATCCACTGATACCTTACTTCGATTAGAGGCATGACCAACATGCTTAAGACGAGTCTGGGCCAGACTGAGCCTTTGCCTGCTCAGCCCTTACTCTTCATCCTTCTGCCTTCTTGCTCCTTTTAGAACTGTACCAAATTTAATCCCTCTCCTAATCAAACTCCCCTTTCCTGGGTGCTCAGCCTGCTACCACCCCCAGGAAGCCTGTGGCTCCACTTTCCAGGTTAGTTTCTGTTGGATGCCCCCGTCTTTCCTAGTCCTCAGATCACTTTGTTACTGCACTGTTGTAGTTTAACTGTGTGGCCAATGCCTGTCCCTCTCTCCTGAAAGTGAACTCCCTGGCCTGATCTTAACAGCATCTTTGGTACCTTATCTCCTTGCCTGACTCATTCCCATGGTACAGCAGGCAAACTGGAACCTTCTTTGCTCTAAAGCTTCATGATAGAAAACACGAACTGATTCTTAGCCTGTCCAACTCTGAGGGACAACCACGAACTCCAGGTTTGGATTCCACGTGGGCTTGAATGTTTAGCAACAACATTTAACACTCATGTGAACCCAATCTTTTGCAAAAAAGCCACTCCTGCCTTACCACTTTCTGGCCTAGTTAGTGAGAGAAGAGAATAGGATCCTCATTTCTAAGGTTAAAAATGCAGAGGCTCTACCCACGCCTCTACCCAAAATCACCCAGTTAAGGGATGTGGAAGCCCGGTGTGGATCCTGGGAGGTTCTGGTGTCTTCTTTCTCTTCTCATCTACTGGTGTGGATCCTGGGGGGTTCTGATGTCTCCTTTCTCTTCTCATCTACCGATATGGATCCTGGGGGTTCTGATATCTCTTTTCTCTTCTCATCTACTGGTGTGGATCCTGGGGCTTCTGATGTCTCCCTTCTCTTCTCATCTACTGATATAGATCCTGGGGGTTCTGATGTCTCTTTTCTCTTCTCATTTACCTTTGACTCAACACTCTGCTCTATTCTCACAGCTCTGGGGCCAAATGTAGACTCCAATAAAAGAGAGAATCATTATTTCCTTCCTCCATCTCAGCAATGACCTTTGCTCCCTCACCTCCTAATCAAAAGGGAGTGTCAAGCTGCACCCACCTGAGGAGGAGGGTGAAAGATCAAACCCACCAGTGCTCCCATGTCAGTCCTCTGGGAAGAGCTGCCATCTGACTCTGGGTTGTAATGTCCAGCCCAGTGTTATTTTCTGGTTTCACTTCTGTGTCCAAATCTTACAGGTAGCTCTTATGTTGTTCCACGCAGTCAACTGAGCCACTTGCCTAGCTGAGACATACGACTTGGCCAGTAAAAGCTCAAAGCCAGCTTTTAGACTTCAGGAGCTCTGAGGCTGGTCTAGGCACACGTGTTTGTCCTGTGTATTAGTCCTGTGAGGAGCAGGGAAGGGGCACTTCTGAGGGAAGCGGACTCTGTCCCACCTGATGTTAGGTGCAGGAAGGAAGCGAGAGAGAAAGGCCATTCTGGATGGTTCTGCTCTGCTTGCTCCCACACAGCCCAGCTCACACCCCCTCAGGCACGCAAGGCCATTAGCAGCTGCTGGGGGACTTTCCATACTTTCCTCAAGCTAGAGCCATCCCCTGACCTCTCCGTAGAACGGGGAGTCAAGACAGGCTCTTTTCTCCCATGTTCTATACTGAAGGGATAAAGGTCGTGTGTGTGTGTGTGTGTGTGTGTGTGTGTGTGTGTGTGTGTGTGTGAAGTGGAATCATTGGGGCCTGCTAGAAGAAGGAAGAACGTAGAGAAAATGATCCCTAAAGGAAAGCATTCATTCCATGTTGTCCTGACTTGTCCATCACAACATTAACGTGAACCTAGATGTACAGAATCCTCAGCTGAGGCTCAGTCATCCACCCACCTGCCCATGCCATCCTGGCCTGTTCCTGCCTGTCTGAGCCTCCTTTACCCCCTTGCTAGGCCGGTCTTGTGTGCACTCACCTTGTCCCAGCGGAGCATTCGGTGTGTGTGGGGGGGCTTCATGTCCAGGTGGCTCCAGGTTCCTAGCTGCATACGCCACCTGCATCTCTCTTGTCCGTGGCCACACTAGAAGTCCAGCTTCTCAAGAGGCACCTCGATATTGAAGGAATACCAGGCAAGCCAGAACAGTAGGCTCAGGGCCAGGATCAGAGCCCCTGTGTAGACGAAGAAGTCCCAGTAGTTCAGTGTGGCGAAGATCCCCACCAGCAAAAGGACCAGGCCCACAGCGTCGCTCAAAAGAGCCACAATGAGGAAAAATACACAGCGCCCGAGATGGCATCTTGTACAAGGTCTGCCCAGGAGCATTGCCCAGGAGCAGCGGGAGGAGTCCAGCTGCGCTCCTGGGGCTGATTTGCATGGGAGGTGGCAGTCCTGTGTTGTCTCTCCCTGTGGGTGTGAGCAAATGCATGAGCTGGTGCGTCTTGGAACAAGGAGGAAGTCCACGTGGGTCCACCTTTATGAGCCTGGCAGCCAGTGGGGCAGGATATTTCTTAACTGTTTCACGGTTCAGGAATGATCCCAGCCCAAACAATATGACATCGGGGCTGATTGGACTGGCGCTGGCTGGGATCAGCAAGGCTCTGTGGCTGAGAAGTGAGCCTCAGGTGGATTTGCAGTCAGAGGTCCTGTGACCCTGGAAGAGGATGCCTCCCCTGTTCTCTGATGTGAGACTCGGCCAGCCTGAAGGCAATGAATTCCTGAGAATGGAGTCCGCACCTACTGCGAGAGTGCAGGGCTTGCCTTCTCCCGTGATTTCAGCCCTGCTGTTCCTGGTGGGAAAAGGAGGGATTTAAAAATTAATACATTTGTTCTTTGTTCATGTGTGGGATTTTTGTTCCGTTTTATTTACTTTTTTATTTTATTTTTATTTTTGAGACAGGGTTTCTCTGGGTAGTCTTGGCTGTCCTAGAACTCACTCTGTAGACCAGGTTGGGCTAGAACTCCACAGAGATCCTCTTACCTCTGCTTCTTGAGTATTGGGATTAAAGGCATATGTCACCACTGCCTGGCTCCTATGTATTTATAATGAATCCTAAATTATTGAATGCCCTCCCCTCTGTTATCTCTCTCAGTCCTGTGGCCCCCTCCCCCATATGGATAGGAGCCACTTGACACCTGTAGATTTGGAAATGGAGCCATAATTGTCGCTTCTTCAACACTAGCCAGTATTGTGTTGGCCTTTTGGATTCTCAACTCGATTTCTGAAGGCTGTAAGTTCCTTAAAATGATGGACAGGAGAGATAAGGGCAGATGGGGAGACAGGGAGATGGGGAGAGGATAGGGTGAGAAGATTCTCTCCCTTCTCTTGGCACTGTATTCAGTATGAGTCAACGGCACTTCCCAAGCACGAGCCCAGAGGTCTTTGCCCACTCCAGTGACTGTTTCCCACACCAACTAGTTTTTTTTTTTTTTACTTGTTTTACCTCTTGTGGTAGATGATGCCAATCTGACCATACAGATACTGTGAGCATGTGTGAATATGACAGGTAAGGTTTTTTTTTTTTCTTTCATGGTGGCTACTTACAAGATGAACAAACTGAAGATCACATGAGAAAAATGAATAGCCCAATCCCCTAAGCAGAGTCACACAGGTGAACATGGCTCTGTCCCCATTCAGAATAAAGCCTCAGATGAGGTACCAACCCTTTTCAAGCTTCGGTTTTCCCAGACAAAGTAAATAATTTCTATTCCCCATCTTCCACAAAGAATGAGAATAAAGAGGAGGTCCTCATTTAGTTCACTTAGTTTTCTATGTGTAAAATAAGCTATGAAGGAAGAGAAACTTGCAGAAAACGTGTTGTGAAAGGAGAGTGGAGGCACAACACAAGCCAGAGGTTTCAGGATCCAAAGCACCTTAAGATTTGACTCAACGGGGCTGGAGAGATGACTAGGTGGTTAGCACTGCCTGCTCTTCCAGAGGTCCTCAGTACAATTCCCATCAACCACATGGTGGCTCATAGACATCTATAATGAGATCTGGTGCCCTCTTCTGGCCTGCAGGCATACATGCAGGCAGAACACTGTATACATAAATAAATAAATAAATCCTAAAAATAAAAAGATTTGATCCAAGTCATGTAGCCAAATTGAAGCATCTCATAGACAGAAGTACCTGGAGTAAGCCTCTGGACCAGTATTGCATCCCTCCTATGGTATCCTCAGGGATGGTTCACCCATGTGGGATGCCTCCTTGCTGGGGAAGCCAGGGCTCTTCCACTTTGTCACCCAGTTTTGACTGAGCTTCTTGAGAAGATTGGCAAAGAGTGATGAGGGCAAGAAGACCCCTCTGCTGTGGCTGCGGCTGTGCGGGGCATGGCTGACTCCTTCTGCCAACCTAGCTGTACACAGGTTCCCATGAATCTTTCTGAGTCTTTCTCTCTCTCCCTCCCTCCCTTCCCCTCTCTCTTTCTCTGTGTGTATGTGGGGGTGGGGCGGTGGTCTAGGTAGGGCGAATAATTCTACATGTAGTGCTAAAATTTCTACATGTTAGGGAATCCCTTGGTCTTGGTTAATGACCTGTTACCTAACATGCCATGTCACAGGAAGTGGGTAACAGGAAGTTGGTTCCATGTTGCCCTGTTTTTGGCCAGCTTTGTGCAGTGCACATCCTGGCTCCATCTCCACAGCAGCTGTAGCACTACAGATGTCCCTCAGTATCCGTGGTCATGAGTTCTAGAGCCATGGACGGTGCTACAATCTGGGGAAAGCTCAATTCCCTTGTACAAATAGGCTCGGTGTTTTTATGGCATCTGCATGCATTCTCCCTATACTTGGGAGGTTCTCAACTTTCCCATTGCTGCTGCCATTAAATGCAGTTCCTTAAGTGTGGGGTCCCCAACCATAAAATTATTTTCATTGCTACTTCATAACTATCACTTTGCTACTGTTATGAATTGTAATACAAATACTTGTATTTTCTGATCATCTTAGGTGAACCCTGTGAAGGGATCATTTAACTCTACCCCCAAAAGGGGTCATGACCCACAGGTTGAGAATCACTGCTTTAAACCATCTCTAGATTACTTCTAATACCCAATACATTATCTATGCCATGGACATTCTTGTAATATTATGTTCTCTAGGGGTTGATGACAAGAATAAAAGTCTGGTGGAGAGAGTTCCAGGACAGCCAGGGCTACACAGAGACAATATGTCAAAAAAAATCTGTATCTACACTAACTTGAAAATTTTTTCAAAAATATTTTTATTCTGAGGTAAATTGAGTTTACATATGTAGATTCCTCAATCACAGAGAGCTTTATCAGTTACAGAGAGCTTGGAGTACCATTTTCTGTTTCTGTTTGTCTCCTCTTTTCTGTCTGTCTTACACACACACACACACACACACACACACACACACACACGCACACACACACATACTTCATTTCTAGTTGAAAACTGTGACATATTTACAAACAAAAGGAGCAGACTTGAAGCCACGGACCATGTGGGAACGCAGATCTCAGGGACATCAGTTCGTGGGTAATCGCCCTGCTGATTCAGAGCTCTCTCTTTCCTTCCTCCCAAGAGTGGGTCACATTGTCTTCCTGGTTCTGCAGCTTGACATTCTCTCCTTAAGGCCACAGCCACATTGCACACGATGAACTGTAGGCACCAGTAGACTGACCAGACCACAAACAGCCCCTCCGCTCTTTCTGGTGGCTTCTTTGATCCTGTTCCCTGATGTGGCCTCTCCTGTGTGTTAAGTCAGTGTAGGTATTTGCACAGCTGGGAGAGACCGATGGGATGCTTGAAAAAAAGACTGAGGGCTAGGGAGAAGAGGCAGAAGTCAAGACCAGGCAGAGAGAGAGGCGTGAAGTAACGGAAAATACTCGGGGTTCCCACCCTGGATCTGGGACAACTCATTAGCAAGAAAAGCTCACCTGACCCAACCAAGAACAGTTGGGGCCCCCCTGTGTTAGCAAAGACACTCACCTCTCTGGGCCCCGAGATGAAATTCATTGGCTCACTCACCAACACGACACCCTCCGCTGCTGCTTCAATAAATAAGCCCAACACAGAGGCCTAAATGACAGATGTGTGTTGTTTCCCAGTGTGGAGACTGAAAGTCTGTGAATAGCATTGTCAGGGATGGCTCCAAGGAGAAGCCGTTCCTTCCTCTCATGGCTTCTGCTGGTCGGTAGCCTCTCTGCGGTTCCTGGGAGGAGGCATCGTGTTGACCTCTGCTTTCATCTTCGTGTTGTTTCTGTGCATGTGACTCTGTGGATTGAGGGGGCACTCACCTGGAGTTTATTAATTGTGTCTCCGAGGGCTGCACTTCCAAATGTGATCACGTTGTAAGGTTCTGGGGTTTAGGACTTCATTGTATGAAGCTGGCAGACATAATTCAATACACAGCCTAGAAGAACAGCCAGAAGAGCTGTTTGGAGAGCCTCTGCTGTCGAGCAGTGGTTTAGCCAGAATGGACAAGCCTCCAAACCCATTCCTCAGAGACACGGGTAATTGTAAAATGTCTGCACCCCATCCAAGGTGATCTACCATATCACCTTGCACCAGGAGGAAAGTGCCAGTCCCAAGGATGCTGAGAACCAATTTGTTGTCCTGGCTTCACTGAAAGAAAAGCTAAGAAGGCAGGCCTCCCTTGCCTGAGTTCAGGCTGGCCACTCTCTGTCACCAAGCCGAAGGGCTCATAGCCCATGAATAGATAACCCCAAATGATCCCCAGAATGTACAGCCTTGAGATGCAGCACATTTTCCCAGGTATTGTGGGGCATACCTACAATCCCAGCTCTCAGGAAGTTTAGGCAGGAGGATTGTACATTCAAGTTCAGTCTGGCTAAATAATGATACCCCCACCTCAGGAAGTTCAAGACAAAAATATGCTTAAAATTAAAAACAAAATTTAAGCATATTATTAATAAAAATACTAGGGATCACTCTCTATGTGTGGAGGATCAAATGCAGATCTTAGGCCACAGTTAATACACGTTAGCTAATATTTAAGGAGGACATGAATTGGTAATCTCAAATGGCTGGTAAATACAACAGGATATGCTCAAAACCAGGGAAGTGATCGTGTGGGTGGCTGGTACACTGGATGGCAGGTTTGCTTTCTGTGCCACGAGCTCAGTGTGTACAGCAGACATGACTAGTACCCAGTCCCTAACCTAGCCTCCAGGCTTGGTCATCTAAAGTCTCTGTCTCCAGTTTCTTAGGTTTCCAAGGCTTAGTCACCCCTGTGGTTCAGAGGGGTTTGTCTTCTTGCTCTTGCCTCAGAGCCCTGCCTCTTCTCAGCAAAGGAGACTTTTGTCCTTTGACAAAGCCACCATTACCTGACGTCACCCTATGATGTCACCGAACGACTCCTTCTCCATGACCTTAGATCCTAATAGCCATTTGTGGTTGAGGCAGGGATGGGCCAGCCATGCGCTCAGCTGATCCTGCATCACAGTTTCCTGATCTGACTCT